TACACGTGTTTTTAAGAGCATTTTACTGGTGATAGGACGTCTTGTGAATCCACACGAGTAGGTATCACCGCCCTGCCTGTTTCTATGCGTTTCGGTTTATCTTTCTTAATGCTTAGATGGGTGGACGAGCTCACGGCCCACCTGGTGTTCAGTGGTTATCGGAGCCCATATCTACAACATAAATGCCGCTATCTACCTCGAGATATAAGTTTTAAGGTCTCAAGTATAGTTACAACGGCTGCCCCGCCCTACAAACCGAAACGCATTACAGCTTCACGGCAGAAATAGGCAGGGCGGTCGTACTTACCCGTGAGAACTTACAAGAGGTCCTACCACGGCAGTACAGTCCAGTTACAGTACAGTCTAATTACAGTACAGTCCAGTTACAGTACAGTCCAATCACAGTCCAGTACAGTCCAATCACAGTCCCGTTACAGTCAAATCACAGTCCGGCACGGTGGCGTACCTTGACGACGTTGTAGTGCGTGAAGTGTCCCCCGGCGTGCTCTCGGTGCGCGCGCACGGAGGCCTGCATCTCCCTCTCGAGCACCGCGTACTCGCCCCCCTCGCCGCTCGGGGTCACCTCTACGAGGGTCGTGCCGCCGTACCATTCTGGTCACATTAAACCACTCGATTAATTCACTACTCGATCTTTAATATATCTATACCAGCGGTCGGGGAACCGGGGTAAATTACCCCAAATGGGCTAAAATGAAATTTTGGGGGGTAAAAATGAAACTTTTGTGGGTAAAAAGTATTTATTGAAGTGAAACTTCTTTAGAATCGTTCCGATTTCAAATTCGATGAAACGAAATGAAATGAAACGAAAAAAATTTTTTTTTTTTCAAAATTATCATAATATGAAAAATGCTGAAAAGAAGCGATTTCGTTTTTTTTTTTGTTCTTCGCCATGGAGTAATATCAACTTACACAAAAATATTTTAGGGTAATAATTAAAAAAGTTCCCCGACCCCTGATCTATACATATAAATAAAATTGGAGTGTCTGTTTGCAATGTTGAAATAATCGCTTTTTATTACATGCATATATGAATATACTTAGTCTGGCCATCAATACTGTTACAATTAAAAACAAACAAAATATTACATTTGAATTCGGAATCTATCATTTTTATATGATTGCTCATTGAGTTTTCTCATTTTGGCGCCAATACATTGTACAATATTTTGCGATATTAAAAAGAACCGAGTCGCTGTGATTGCATTACACAAAGTAGGTATGGAGCCAAATGCAATTTTTAAAACTGTCCATACGCTTGGTATTTTTTTTTTTTTTTATTGCTTTGATGGATGGACGAGCTCACAGCCCACCTGATGTTAAGTGGTTACTGGAGCCCATAGACATCTACAACGTAAATGCGCCACCCACCTCGAGATATAAGTTCTAAGGTCTCAGTATAGTTACGACGGCTACCCCACCCTTCGAACCGAAACGCATTACTGCTTCACGGCGGAAATAGGCGGGGTGGTGGTACCTACCCGTGCGGACTCNAGCCTTGAGAGGCTATTTCAGCGTAACCCTAACTTTTGTAGGTGAGCTCACGGGGCTCAAACCTGATGACGTTGCTAACACGAACCCTAGCAAGAGCCGTGCTTCGCAGAATCTACCACCGGATCGGAAACGCGACCCACTGAGAAGATCCGGCGAGAAACTCAGTGGGCTGTGTCTGAGAGTTAATTTACTCGTCGAGCCTAACGGTGCTTGAAGTACCTAGAAGCACCGTTAGTGGATCGGGAGGATCCGAGATGACGTGTTTTGGGCGACGTCGACTGCTTTCCATTCTGTCCGCAGGATCGGGAATGCTAAAATATTCATGTTATTGCAATATTGTGTTATTGGTTAAATGATTGTTCTAATTAATTAATTATTCATTAGCTTATATCTTTCTTGATTTTTTATTTTAGACTGACAATGGGGCGAAACGGACGATATCGACGGTACCGTTGCGGACGGAACAGTGGTGTTTATCGTTGCGTGCTCTGTGCAATACTTCACTTTAGTTATTAAGAAATTTTTCATTCATACCAAGGTGTTTTTAAGAAGAAACATAAAAAAATTCATCCTACAAGTATGTTATTTCATGATGGATCAGTAGTAATGACTAAAAATGAAATATTTTAGATGCTTGGAATGTCATTCAACAGTCTATCGGGAAATCTAAAAACAGAGCATTCCTAAAAACCTTAGTAACCCTATGACGGATTCGATTATGCATGAAATACCAATGAAACTCCTACATGATGTAAAATCCAAAATTAAAAAATTGGTATAAATACCAACGAGACAGTATATATAACAACCCTACATTCATGATTGTGTTGTGTCAAATGTCAGATTACTGCTTTTAGTTTTTTTACTTGATTCGTCTATTCGACAAGCAAAAGAAACATGGAGTATACTTCCAATCTTTCAATTTGATGTGATGATGAAAACTAATGTGGAATAAAGTTAGGTAAAGTACTTTACTTTTAAAGGAAACAAGCTTTCTTCTTTCCCCTTGCAAGGTCCTCATGAAGATTACAAGCGGATGAGTTATGTCTGTAATATTTATTAATCACAAGACTAGTACCAAAAAAAAAAGTATAAAAATATATAAAGTATCAAAAAGCGCAAGATAGAGTATCTCGGCCACGTGCTCAGGAACGATCGATACATGCTGCTGCAGCTGATAATTATGGGCAAAGTGGACGGAAAGAGACGTGCTGGGCGAAGGAAAAAGTCATGGCTCCGGAATATCCGGGAGTGGACCGGTATTGCCTCCGTCGAACAGCTGTTCCGGCTGGCTGCTGACAGAAAGGAATACAGGAAGCTAACGGCCAACCTTCAGGATTGAAAAGGCACTGGAAGAAGAAGAAGAAGAAGAAGACTAGTACCTACTTATCTCCTAAATATTATAACTAGTGAGGTCATAAGTATTGTCACACAGTAAAAACTTCTTTTAAAATGCTGGCCACAAAAAAGTTTATTGAATTCGAATTTCGAATTGTTCATGAAAATAAAAATGTATACTTTTAGAATTTTACTCATTTTTAAATATGGAGTGGACGCTTAAAGAAGACCGTGTTGCAGTTATTGCGTTGCATCGTTGCGGTTACGCGCCAATTCAAATTTTTAACATACTGAAAAATTTGAATATAACCAAAAGATTCGTTTATCGTACCATCAAACGATACAATGAAGACTCTAGTGTAGATGACAGGTCAAGAAGTGGTCGCCCTCGGTCTGTTAGGACTCCAGCAGTGATAAAAGCTGTGAAGGCGCGAATTCAAAGAAATCCCAAACGTAAGCAGAAACTGTTGGCCCTTCAGATGGGGTTAAGCAGAACCACGGTGAAAAGGGTGTTAAATGAAGACTTAGGGCTTCGGGCATATCGAAGAAAAACAGGACATCGTTTGAATGCTCGTCTAATGGACCTGAGACTGAAGAGATGCCGCGCTTTGTTGAAGCGGTACGCGGGAAAAAAATATCGGGAAATTCTTTTTTCGGATGAAAAAATTTTTACCGTAGAAGAGAGCTACAACAAACAAAATGATAAGGTGTACGCACACAGTAGTGAAGAAGCGAGCAACCGTATTCCGCGTGTCCAACGAGGTCATTTTCCATCCTCGCTCATGGTATGGTTGGGAGTTTCTTATTGGGGCTTAACAGAGGTACATTTTTGTGAGAAAGGTGTAAAAACGAATGCAGTTGTGTATCAAAATACAGTCCTGACGAACCTTGTGGAACCTGTTTCTCATACCATGTTCAATAACAGGCACTGGGTATTCCAACAAGATTCGGCGCCAGCTCATAGAGCGAAGAGCACACAAGACTGGCTGGCGGCGCGTGAAATCGACTTCATCCGGCACGAAGACTGGCCCTCCTCCAGTCCAGATTTGAATCCGTTAGATTACAAGATATGGCAACACTTGGAGGAAAAGGCGTGCTCAAAGCCTCATCCCAATTTGGAGTCACTCAAGACATCCTTGATTAAGGCAGCCGCCGATATTGACATGGACCTCGTTCGTGCTGCGATATACGACTGGCCGCGCAGATTGAAGGCCTGTATTCAAAATCACGGAGGTCATTTTGAATAAACTTTAGTGTCATGAGAATCTATGTTTTGGTCAGTTCATTTTGGTATATGAATGGTTAAATAATGAATAAACTTGTTTCAATTATTTTATATTAAACATGTGACAGAATTTATGACCTGACTAGGTAAATATATCTACGTGTCTATGCAGGTTAGTTAAGTAACCAGTACATGCACAAATTATTAAGATGTGATAATTTTGAGGATGAAGTTACTAGTGGCAGCAACCGAGACACGGTCTACTTCGTACTATAGCGTACTTCGACGTGTTAGACGAAATATGAGCCTATAGAATCAGCTGAGTCTTCTCAGCGGATCGCTATTTCGATCTAGCAGCAGATGCATTCCTGAAACAGCCGTTGTTGAGCACTTAGGCTTACTTCGGAGCCCCTTTTCTTCTCCTAACCCTGTAGTCTTAGGAGCTATTGCAGCGCTGCGTGGATGGGTGACTGGGCTCACGGGCTGAACCTAAGAGAATTTCCTAATACTACACATTATACGCATTAGGGAGTCGATCTATCGACGGTTCGCGCTCAAAGAATTATCTCATGCATCAATTATCTCACGGAAAACACTGCTCCGACGGGGGGTTCAAAAATCACCGACCAAAAATTCCCAGGGCGGTAGATGAATAAAACAAAACAACACTGACAATAAAATTATATTTTAAAAGTCCGTATCTTAACTACGTTAAAAAAAAGACCCACTCCGGGGTCCGGGAATATTGTTTCCTTCCGAAACCTCACAGACCGGCAGATTGCATCCTGAATACTACTCCATCATTAGAGCACCGTCACGCTCCGAGCTTAGGACCTTGCGACCGCAGTGGTCCACGGACCTCATCCGGTTGCGACAACGCGTGCCGGTCCGCGCCCCCCCGTCCCGAGGTCCGTGGGCCTCTCGTTTCGTTACTTATGAATCACAGAATCGTTCTCAAGTTTCTGCGGCACCACACTTAGAACTCTCCCGGTGCTTAGAAGACGCTCCGATACAAGTCAGAGCGAGGCCTAGCGCCACGAGTCCCGGGTTCACACCTCGCCCGGGCCGCTCTCGCTGCTCACGATCTGATACGTGATCAGGTACTCGGGGTAGGCCTGGACAAAAATATTATTATGTTATTACTCTGCACTACCTTTGGTTGACTGGTAGAGAATGCCTTAGGCATTAAGTCCGCCAATATAAATTTTACTTGAAGTGTTTTTTTATTGCTTAGATGAGTGGTCGAGCTTTCAGCTCACCTGGTGTTAAGTGGTTACTGGAACCCAGAGACATCTACAACCGTAAATGCGCCACCCACTATGAGATATAAGTTCTAAGGTCTCAGTATAGTTGGATAATATGTAATAGTGTAATAAATAAATAAATGAATGAATAAAGCCGATGGTGGTAGTGGCGTGGTACCTGCTCCCCCCTGTAGACCACGTACTCCGGGAAGCAGAGCCCCCCCTGCGAGGGTCGGCCCGCCACCGAGTGGTGCCCGGGCGGCGCGTGCGCCATCTTCATCGCGCTCAGCAGCTGGAACCCGCGGCCCAGGGTCACGCGGCACAGCAGCATCTGTCTGCAGAGTCATTCAAAGATACAAGATACAAAAACAATTTTTTTTTATGTGAAACATCTGTAGCCGCACGTAAAACCGATTTCTGGCGTGGCGACGCGTCGCCATGCGCAATCGACTGTGCGGTTCTCTCCCACTCGATCCGGCGCTAAGCCTCCTCTCTCGCTACACTGAGCTCGGATACCTATAGTGTATACTCCGTAGTGTATATAGTGTTGTTTACTACAGTACACATAACCTGTGTTTTACTTGAAAACAAATTATTTTTTCGTAATATTTTATTTTATCATTAATTTATATTTTCATAAATTTATATTATTAATTTAAATTTATATTTAGTTCCTATCACAATCTGTTCTTTTCTGAATATTACTTTTACAAAATAATGTCGATGTTTCACATCTGCCAGGCGTCCCGTGACAGCTCACATTTATTGTTTTTATTGCCTTTGTAGGCAAACGAGCGTACGGCCCACCTGATGGTAAGTGGTTACCGTCGCCCATGGACTTCAGCAATGCCAGGAGCAGAGCTAAGCCGCTGCCTACTGAAACAAGCCGTTGCCTACTGAGCCAAGCCGCAGCTGCCTACCATTTGCTATTTAATTATGCTATTTAAATACAATTAAGTGTCTTGAAGTCGTCGTGGTCTAAAGGATAAGACGTCCGGCGCATTCGTATGTAGCGATGCACCGGGGTTCGAATCCCGCAGGCGGGTACCAATTTTTCGAATGAAATACACGTACTCAACAAACGTTTACGATTGACTTCCACGGTGAAGGAATAACATCGTGTAATAAAAATCAAATACCCGCAAAATTATAATTTGCGTAATTACTGGTGGTAGGACCTCTTGTGAGTCCACGCAGGTAGGTACCACCGCCCTGCTTATTTCTGCCGTGAAGCAGTAATGCGTTTCGATTTGAAGGATGGGGCAGCCGTTGTAACTATACTGAGACCTTAGAACTTATATCTCAAGGCGCATTTACGTTGGGGATGTCTATGGGCTCCAGTTACCACTTAACATCAGGTGAGCTGTGAGGTCGTCCACCCATCTAAGCAATAAAAAAAAAAGATGAGCTATGTATTGAGCTCTGAGCACTGCACAAGGTACTACTGTCCCACCAATTTCTGCCGTGAATCCGTCATCTGATCCGAATTGAAATTTATAACAGCTGTTACACTACTCAAAGGTTTTTTTATGATTGAAGTATTACTGGTGGCCCGGAGGCCTTTCCAGTTTCACCAGGACAGGTGGGCGAGCAAAGGCTCAGCCAGGAGGGATGGGATTTGCTAACAGCTACCCGAGTGCCTCCGAAGGAGACCTAACAACTCAAGAGCAGCTGCTTCGCGAATGAATCTACTACCGGATCGGAATCGCGACCCACTGAGAAGATCCGGCGAGAAAGTCAGCGATGGGTTAGGTTGCACGTCGACCTCTCTGTCGAGTTCGACGAGTACGGTTACCGGGGTCCCTAAGCCTGCTCCTAGTGTTAGAGCTGAAGGCGTCTAATGCAAAGGTTATTGGATCTGATGGATCCGTAAGAACGTGTTACACTACTCAAAGGTATGTCGTCCCCTTTGTGATATCCCTTGTATCTTACAGACACGTGTGTCGTGAGCGGTTACGGTTGAAATTCCCATGTTGATAGTCTGTGTCACGATCTACGACCCAGCCCCCCTTGACTTTTTGGCGGGAGCGCGAGGTCTGAAGTTGTGTGACTTGTTTTACTTTGTCTATTCAGTGTTTATCAGGTTTAAATGTGTAATAACAGTGGTTTATTAACTGTTTAATATAAGCTGTGAAAGTGCGCAAATGTCGGAAAATGAAACAAAACCGCTGGACGTAACTTCTCGGGATCCTCCAAAAAGTCCACTGAAAAACGCTTAGTAAATGACCACCATTTTACTGAGATTATATTTCATCTCATTTCATTTAATTACATCCCAGTTGATTAATGTCTCAAATTAATCATCTTCATTTCATTTCAATCCATAATATCATTTTTCATAAAAATATGAATATAAATTAAAATAAGACATGACTTAATGGTCTCAGTTACCAGGTCATAAAATCCCTTAGAATAAATAAACCCGGTCCCCCTTGTGGGGGGCGGTGTCCGGGGGCCCAGTGCCCTGGGAGCCCCCCCTCACCTGTGGCAGAGGTAGCAGCTCCGATCCTTGTGCGCGGGGCAGCCCGAGCCACCGCCGAACCCGTACACGTACTGGTTGCTCTTCGAGGAGTGCTCCGCGAAGTATATCCCGGCGCCGAACATGCCCCCTGAGGATCGGGACAGCAGGGGGAGTCAGTGGGGGACCGGGGACCGCAGCACGGGGGTCATACAAGCGGTTCGGGTTCGCGGTCCGCCCCAACCATAAGATGCCCCAAAATCACAAACCAATCCATTGTTTAAATAATTCCTAGCGTATAACGGTATCTTAAACAGTGGTGGTCGTATAATTAGAAATACTACTAACGATCCTTGGCATTACGTAAGATACTTATTATCCTTTATTAGATAAAGAATATAAGTCCCACTACACGAGTGCGGGTTTTTTTTGTTTTTCTGCCTAAGCTGATGGTCTAGAGAGGCTATTTCAGCGTAACCTTAACTAGTAGGTGAGCTCACGGGGCTCAAGCCGGAGTGTTGCTAACACTGGCCCTAGCAAGAGCAGTGCTTCGCAGAATCTACTACCGGATCGGAAACATGACTAACTGAGAAGATCCGACGAGGAACTCAGTGGGCTGTACATAACCCTACCTATTCCAGCCGCGAAGCAGTAATGTATTACGTGCAATTAAGACTTCAACCATAAATCTCAAGCTGTGCGGGTATGACCACATAAGTCACATAGACACAGAGGCGGCTGTTACCTACGATACAGGGTTTGACGACGCCTTTCAATGAACCTATTACACTTGTCATTATTCGATTTTGACTAGAGGGCGCTGGTGATTAGACCCCGCTCGCCGTCCCCAGCCCACCTCACAGGTATAGATGTGCCTATCGTCAAAGCCCCTTGGATTTTGACTAGAGGTCGCTAGTGACTGGATCCCCCTCGCCGCCCCCGGTCCCCCTTACCGATGTAGGCGTGCCTCTCGTCGAAGCCCTTCTGCACGATGGCGTTGATGAAGGGCGAGCCGTGGAAGAGCATGCGCTCGTTGTCGCCGCCGGCCTCCTCTGCGACCTCGCGCCGCCGGTGCTGGTACCGCTCCCAGACCCGACCGTTCACGATCTTCTGGATCTAAGCGGGGAGAGGACACCGAACTCGTTCGTAACTAAGCTGAGAGCCTTGAGAGGCTATTTCAGCGTAACCTTAACTATAGTTCAATTATTTTGTCCGTGCAATTTGGGTCATAAAACATAGCCCGGCTAGGGCGGTGAGCATGTTGCGTGGGCGCAACGCCATTATCGATAAAAACAAATGAGTCCTGCAAATTATAATAGCACATTTTGTCGAAGAGAAATGTGTTTTTATGCATTCGTTCTCTGAATTTCTTTAGTGACACAATGGCTACTCCTTTGTTTTGTATCAAAACGGCAGAATTTACTCAAAATAATATTTGCACGTGTTGTTATCAACAATGCGTTAAAATTTCTCACTGAAATAAGAATAGATCCCGAAAAGTTACTAAGTGTTAATTTCTGCCGTTCTCGTTAACTTGCTGCGGCGATATGTGGTGTAAGTGTTCGATTAGTGATTTTTTCTTTAATTTTTATCACTAACCCACAAAATGACAAAACTAAATACACTATCGATAACGCTTATCGACAACAATAATGCGCATCAGTATGCCCTTCCATAAGGCCCGTGAGTGGAAGAGAGAGCGAAACACTCGCTTCACCGCTCCGAGTTTTTATGACCCAAGCCACATGGACAAAATAATTCTACTATAGTAGGTGAGCTCACAGGGCTCAAACATGACGACGTTGCTAACACGAACCCTAGCAAGAGCAGTGCTTCACAGAATTTACCACCGGATCGGAAACGCGACCCACTGAGAAGATCCGGCGAGAAACTCAGTGGGCTGTGTCTGTAGGTTAATTCGCTCGTCGAGCCCTTCGTCACAAGCGACGGGTTCGACGAGAACGATGACCGGTGCTTGAAGTACCTAAAAGCACCGTTATTGGGTCGGGAGGATCCGAATTGACGTGTTTTGGGCGACGTCGATTGTCCATTCGGTCTACAGGATCGGGTAACGAATATAACAATAAACACATCAGAGTACTGTGCAAAGACTTACTAAACAATAAGCCCAATATCACAACAAATGTGGAAAATTGTATAAATAAATAGACGTGTTTTTAAGAGCATTTTACTGGTGGTAGGACGTTTTGTGAATCCAGTAGGTACCACCGCCCTATCTGTTTCTGTGCGTTTCAGTTTAGTTTTTTTAATGCTTAGATAGGTGGACGAGCTCACGGCCCACCTGGTGTTCAGTGGTTGCCGGAGCCCATAGACATCTACAACGTCTCAGTATAGTTACAACGGCTGCTCCGCTCTTCAAACCGATACGCATTATTGCTTCACGGCAGATATAGGCGGGGTGGTGGTACCCATCCGTGCGGATTTACAAGAGGTCCTACCACCAGAATCGCACTAAGCACACAGTCCACTTACAGTACAGTCCAATCACTGTACAGTCTAGTTACACTACAGTCCTGTTACAGTCCCAATCACAGTCCAGTACAGTCTAGTTACACTACAGTGCAGTAGTCTAGTTACACTACAGTCCGACCACAGTCCAGTTATAGTCCAATCACAGTACAGTCTAGTTACACTACAGTACAGTTCAATCACAGTCCAGTTACAGTCCGTTACGGTGGCGTACCTTGACGACGTTGTAGTGCGTGAAGTGGCCCCCGGCGTGCTCCCGGTGCGCGCGCACGGAGGCCTGCATCTCCCTCTCGAGCACCGCGTACTCGCCCCCCTCGCCGCTCGGGGTCACCTCTACGAGGGTCGTGCCGCCGTACCATTCTGGTCACATTAAACCTCTCGATTAATTCACTACTCGATCTTTAATCTATCTATATTTAAAGGATTGTATTGCAACCAATGAGACCATTTCGAATAAGCTTTTTATACTTTAAATTGTTTTATATTTATGTATTAAACTAACACACTGTAAAAATAATAAATGTCATTTGCAATAGATTTTTTTTTTCCTTTGTAACAGTATTTATGGCCAGACTAAGTATATATATATATTATATATATATCTCATATCGGACGGTGGAAAGGTTATTTGGTTTAAGCGATTATTTACATTTTTACGTTTATGATTAAAGGTCCGTTTAATTTGGGACTAAGATCAACAGTTCAATGTTTTATTATTTGAAATCCAATGAAGTTTACTTCATTCTACATTCAGCTGAAGAAGTTGTATTTGCGTTATTCTTTCCAAATTTGAAATGACTCCCCTGTAAAGTTGCATAAATGTCGTTTTAACTATTTAAAGCCAATTCACCCGCGATTTAAATTAAACGTATTACATAAACTTCTTTAAAATATAAATGACACGCAAAAAAAATAAGGTGGTCGTGCAACTTCGTGCCCGCGAAAGAAGTTAAACTTCTTTTGCGGTTGTGATTTTCCTCATTTTTAATCCATAAATCAAATTTATCTTGTAATAGGGAATGCTGTGTATAAAAGAGACACGACCTAGCTCGCTTTCTCCCTCTCTCCACAATCGAGTTCGCGAGACGCTCTGTCTATTCTCTCACTCTCGCTCGTCCTAAATTGTATATTTTCTCTCTAGCCGTAACGAATCTGTCGCGAGTTAAATTTTACTATCGACGCGCCTAAAGAAGTTTAACTTCAATGATATTTGTAAAAGAAGTTTCAAACATATTTTTGCTAGAGTAACATGAGTTTTAATGCCATACAAATAGAGTTTATAATCGTGTGCTCTCACCGTTGGCGGCGTGGGCGGTGCGCCGGGCCGCCTTTAGCAACCGATGCCGATGTCCGTAGGCCGCAACGCCGACCGCGCGCAGATCCTCGTGCGACATCTCGCACAGGATGTCCACCGTTATCTGCTCTCGCTCCAGCAGCGGCCCCAGCTGCTCCAGTCCGACGCTGCGAACGTGACCGTGCGTGCTTAGTGCGAGCTTTCTTAATGTTCTCGATAGGGTAAATCTTAACTCAAGTTTGTATGGAGTTCGAACGTTTTTTGTTTTTGTTTTATTGCTTATTTGGGTTGACGAGCTCACAGCCCACCTGGTGTTAAACGGTTACCGGAGCCCATAGACAATTACATCGTAAATGCGCGACCCACCTTGAGATATAAGTTCTAAGGTCTCAGTATAGTTACAACGGCTGCCCCATCTTTCAAGCCGAAACGCATTACTACTTCACGGCAGAAATAGGCAGGGTGGTGGTACCTACCCGTGCGGACTCACAAGAGGTCCTACCACCAGTAAACGAGATAACAGTAAACAAGGACGGATAGCGGCTCAACAATTCATATTGTCGGAACGTATATAATTGTTAAGCTGCGTATGTGTGCTCTCTCCGAAGAAGACATGGACGGAGTGTGTGAATGACGATATGAGAGAGAGAGAGAGGAGTAAGTGTTGAGATGACGGCTGATAGCGGAGAATGGAAAAGAAAAATTAGCTGTGCCGACCCCACCTAGTGGGATAAGGTGGAGAAAAAGAAGAGTATATGTGCTCTCTACGACACAGCGGAGTGAGCTTTTTTTTCCCCTACCTATGCTGATAGCCTTGAAAGGCTATTTCAGCTTCTCCCTAACGTATGTAGGTGAGCTCACGAGGCTCAAACCTGACGTCGTTGCTAACACGAATCCTAGCAAGAGCCGTGCTTCGCAGAATCTACCACCGGATTGGAAACGCGACCCACTGAGAAGATCCGCCGAGACACTCAGTAGGTTGTGTCTGTGGGAATTCACTCGTCGAGCCCTTGGTCGCAAGCGACGGGTTCGACCAGGACGTGACCGGTGCTTGTGGTATTGTACCTAACAGCAGTGTTAGTGGATCGGGAGGATCCGAAATGACGTGTTTGGGGCGACGTCGACTGCTTTCCATTCTGTCCGCAGGATCGGGAAAACCGGAGTCAGTGCAGCATCAATCGCGTTTAAGTGGCAACCGCGTGGCAAGAGAAGACCTGGTCGCCCTGTACACACTTGGCGACGCATTGTATAGACCGGGATGAAGTCTCCCGACGTGACCTGGAGTGATGTTAGCCAGCAAACGCAAAACAGGATCAAGTGGAGACAACTTGCGAGGGCTTTGTGCATCAGCAGCAAACACATCGACTTTTCGCATTAAAAGTGTACTACAATTTCCAAATATATTCGAAATTAAGTTAATATGCGTGAACATTTGGCGTCAATCAGTATTCTTCTCATAAATACTGTCAAAAGAGCGTAGTTTAGAATTAGTTTCTTTTCGTCTGTGTGTTGCATGTCGCGTGACGGTCAGCTGCGGAGTAGGGATAAAGTGAAAGACGCGTAGTAGTGTATAGAGACTATTACTCATTTGTGCCAGTGCTCCAGGCTATTTTGTTTTCGTTTTTGTCAGTGTTTAATGTAAATGTTGTTTGTCAGAGTTAAATGTCTATAATGTGAAAAAAAGTTTCACTTTTACCGTGGTTTCATAAAACCACACAATCCTTTTTTTAGTTTACCTATGTTTTGAATAATATTTAAAAAAAATTAATACATAATTTTATCTTACTTTAAAAGATAGATAATGTAACTGGTAAAAAATAAAAAATAAATGTTGCAAAGACGATTAATATTAAAAATATTGCATGTTTTAAACCCTTAAAACACTCTCCTGTAAAATTAGTAAGTTTTGAGATTATACAGTGTTAATGCGAGAAGACGAGATGTGCTCGTATCGTGAGTGCTCAGCGTGCTCACCTCGCCAGGAATGTCTGCAGGGACTCCGAGGTGGAGAGGGCCGACGCCGGCCTCCCGGCTGCGTCTTCCAAGCTGCCCCTGGACCCCTCCGCCCAGTAGTTGCTGGGCAGGACCTGTCGAGAAGACAACACAGCGTCTGTAGTCCTTGATGATAAAATCAAATAACTCAAGGTACCCGTGTTATTCCACGGGAGTAGCTTGTGTTGAAGCACGCAGCATATCAACGAGTACACATCTAGTTATATCTTCAGTGAGCTTAGTGAGAGCTTTTTAACGTTCTCGATAGCGTAAGAGTTAACTTAACTTTTTTTTATGAAACTTACAGTTTATAACAAAAATCAACATAAGAAATCATTTTATTGTTAATTATTAAATATCGCGACCATTAATCGAAATAAAAACCATCCTGTGGCCTAAATTGAAACAAAACACATATTTAAAATAATAAAAGTTAAAATCGGTTCAGTAGTTTAGGTGTCCATCGCGGACAAACAACGTGACACGTAATTTATACATATATTTTAAGATGAATCTGCGTTATGTATGTATGCGCTTAACTTCAAAACGCCGGCAACAAATTGGATAATTCTTTTTTTGTTGTGTTTGTTATTGTCAAGAAATGGTACTTCTAAAAAAAACCAAATTTAAGAAAATTATGTATGTGGAAAATTAGAAAATTTAAGAAAACTTAACCACCACATTAAATTTTCTCATGTAACCTTATTACGGCTTTCGACATAGCATTGAGAGAATGCGTGCTGCAAATATCAGATTTGTCTATACTAATATTATAAAGAGCAAAGATTTGTTTGTTTGTTTGTTTCGAATAGGCTCCGAAACTACTGGACCGATTTGAAATCTATACTAATATTATAAAGAGGAAAGATTTGTTTGTTTGTTTGTTTCGAATAGGCTCCGAAACTACTGGACCGATTTGAAAAATTCTTTTTCCATTAGAAGCCGACATTGTCCCTGATGAACATAGGCTACTTTTTTAATTTTTTTTTTTTTTTTTNTTGGTTTCATGTGTGTTTTAATGTTTCCGAAGCGAAGCGAGGGCGGGTCACTAGTATAAAATAAAATTCATTAAAATCAATAATAAATTTTAGTCCCCGAAGAGAAGCGAGGTCGAGTTGCTAGTTTATTTATTTATTTATTAGGCTCCCAATACACATCACAAGCTAAAAAGATACATAAAAAACACAAGTAAAAAGAAACAAAATCTGGCTTGCAACATAAGTTACGTGCGCACGACAAAACAAGACATAATATGCTGAATTTGTACAACAAAGTTCCTTATGCAAACAAATTGTTTTGGTTGACCCTACGAGCACTAAATTTAATGTTTAGTGAAATCTGAGAACAGTTCAGGCGAATCCATCAGAGAGTGAATTATTTCATATAAGTATGTCAGGTCAGTGCATGTACGTCAATCCTCTAGTGACTGCATGTTATAGTTTAGTAGTCTTCGCTCGTATTTAAGTTCAGAGCGGCCTGGTTGTATACGATAACTTAATAATCTTAAACACTTCGTTTGCACACGCTCAATAGTGTTAATGTGCACTCTGTAATTAGGGGACCGTATTGGCTGAAGTACAGATATAAAACACTCCAAGGATTCTTAAAATCTTTTGATGATTTTAATATAAACCCCAATAACTTATTTGCCCTAGAAGTAATCTGTTGATAGTGTTCCCTAAATGAATACAAGTATACAAAAAAAAAAAAAACATACATAATACTTACCGGCAACGCCAACTGCACCGTGTCCCCGCTCGGCATGAGCACGGGGTGCGAGGGGGGCGGCAGCGGGGCCGGCGGAGGGACGGGCGCGGACGATGACGTCACGTCACCGGCCGATGACGTCATCGCGTCCTGCAGCAGCGACCTCACGTCCTCGGCCCCGGACAGTTCAAGAGCCGTCTGCCCCTCCTGGTTCTTGAGGAACGGGTCCGCTCCGTGGGCCAGCTGCGCGGACATAGCGCGCGTTTAGATAGTCGCGGTGTGAGCATTAGTGAGCATTAATCCACAGACACAGCACACTGAGTTTCTCGCCGGATCTTCTCAGTGGGTCGCGTTCCCGATCCGGTGGTAGATTCTGCGAAGCACTGCTCTTGCTAGGGCCAGTGTTAGCAATACTCCGGTTTGAGTCCCGTGAGCTCATCTACACGTCAAGGAGAAGCTGAAAGAGCCTCTCAAGGCTATCAGCATAGGTAGAATTGCAATTAAATTTTGCCTAACACTGCCAGAGCCCATAGACATCTACAACGTAAATGCCACCACCCACCTTGGGACATGAGTTCTTAAGTTTCAAGTATAGTTACAATGGCTGCCCCACCCTTTAAACTGAAACTGCTTCATGGCAGAAATAGGCAGGGCGGTGGTACGGCGCGGACTCACAAGAGATCCTACCACCGGTAAACCTGGTGTCGACTTACGAGCAGCGCGCAGAGCTGGGTCCTGGCCTTGTGCGCGGCCTCGTGCAGGGGCGTGAAGCCCCAGCGGTCGGCGGCGTTGGGCGGCGTGCCCGCGCGCAGCAGCAGCGCCGCCAGCTCGAGGTGCCCGTACGAGGCCGCATTGTGCAGCGGCACCAGCCCGCCCTTGTCGCGCGCCGACACCAGCGCGCCCGCCTCCAGCAGAGCCTCGGCCACCTCCAGGTTGTTATACCCGGCTGATTTAAGAAAACGAAAAAACAACACCCTGTATTTCGTTTTTTTTTAAGTGAAACTTCTTTAAAGTCAAACCAACAAATTTTTATTCAATATAAATGAAAGTACATACTTGTTGAACGTCAAAAAGAACTACCGCCAATTCACAAAAACTAGCGTCCATCCTGAGAAGAACTGGCAAGAAACTCAGCGGGCATATTGTCTTATTTTTTTAATATTACGTTTTTTTTTAAATATTAATTTTTACAATGAGTATTATAACGTAACAATTATTGCATATTAATTAATTATTTAATAAATTATTAATATTTACTTTAGAATCGTGATTTCAAACTCGATGAAACGAAAAAATAAGTCCATAGAGACACAAACACAGTATATAAGATAAGTACTGTATAAGATTCAGCCGGCGAGATAGAACACATTAGACCAGCGGTCGGGGAACTGGAGTAAATTACCGAATGGGATAAAATGAAATTTGGGAGTGGGTAAAAATGAAACTTTTGTCAGTAAAAAGTATATATTGAAGTGAAACTTCTTTAGAATCGTTGCGATTTCAAATTCGATGAAATGAAAAGAAAAGAAACGATTTTTTTTTTTTTTTAATTGTTATGGGGCCTATAATATGAAAGATACTAAAAACAAGCGATTTCGTTTTTTTTTTGTTCTTCGCCGTGAGGTAATATCAACTTACACAAAAAAATATTTTGGGGTAATAATTAAAAAAGTTCCCCGACCGCTGTGCTAGAGGAAGAGCGCCAGCTAGATGGGTGGACCAACTCAAGAAGGTGCCTGGAGGCCAGATACAGGGAGCGGTACATACAGCGCAGAACCGGACCGAGTGGAGAAGATTGACATACATTCACGATCCTCAGCATTGAGGGAACGACCAGAATGAATTAGCTTCAGACGTATATGTTAGTATGGAACGGAATCTTTGAACATGATTTTTAACCCATTCAAAACGTTGGATTAACTTGAAATTTGGTATACTCATTAAGGACCGATGACAATTTAATATTTAAAAAATAAATAATAGTTTAAAAAAACGAACAAAATACGCTTTTATAGAAAATCCAACTAAAAAATAGAATATAAATTTTGGTAAATGGTATATCAGTAGTTATAAATATTTTATGAGCAGATATGAGTAGAAGGGTTATTTTGATAATATCCTGAAAAGCACCACCGGCTTTTTGCAAAAAAAATAAAAAAAATTCTTACACTATTTTTAATTCAAATTTATTATCTATTTTTAGTTGGATTTTCTATAAAAGCTTATTTTGTTAGTTTTTTTTAAACTATTTTTTATTTATTTCCTTCAGCAATGCAGAGGGGCAGAGCCAAGCCGCTGCCTACCGCTTAATACTCCACAAGCCTCGTTTGAAGAAGGACATGTCATAGCGCTCGGGAAACACCGTGGAGGGGATCTCATTCCATAGCCGGATGGTACGTGGCAAAAAGCATGTTTGGAAAGTAAAAAATTGAACCCTACTTTATCGACTCATGTTGTAATGAAGTACATCTCTAGTTTATAGTTTAATATAATCTATGTTAGTCTGTGATTCCTGGTCTATGATAGAACTCTCTCGAAGTAAAACTATGTTTTGTAAAACAAAACCGATATATTTTCATTTAAATCAATAATTATATGCCATCTAAATCCTAAACGAAATGGCCTGATAGGTAAGACGCCCGGTGTGAGTAATATGTGTACAGCAAGGGTTCGTTAAAACTTGCACGAGATGAAAGAATGACATCACGTCATAAAAAGCCAAAGATAGGAAATATCTACAAGTGTAATTACTAGCGTTAGGGAGTCTTGTGAATCGACACGAGTGAGTTTGCTGTGAAGAATTTGTCAAGATGATGCCTCCATGGTCTTGTTACCATCGCCCCGCCCTCCACCGGAGCAGAGGTCATCCAGATTATCTAGAACCTCTCCCTTCATGCACGTTGCCTTTTCAGAGATTTTTCTGTCTGTGCAGCAATGGAATGCCCCCCCCCACTACCGGTCGAGCTATCAATAAAAATGGAGTCAAGTACTCCATGGTACGCAGTGGAGTCTGTACTCTTAGCGTTGCGGATGACCATGAGCAACAATGACCACTCACCATCGGGTCGTACGTTCCACCACCATTATAAGCAGTCACACATTCCAATAGAACAGTTCTCCTGATCACATAATACCCTGCGTCGGCTTCTGCGATCTCCCCGCGGATACTCACCAGCCAAATGCAAGGGCGTGGAGTTACGTCCGTGCGCGTCCCGGCAGTTCACGTTTTGAGGAGTTATCAGTTTCCTGTGAACAAGGAGACGGATTCAGGTGACCCTTCAGTTTAAGCACTGGAAACATTGGAGGTTCGAAGGCTGGGGTAGCCGTTGTACTGTAAAAACTGAGAGCTTAGAAATCGTATCTCAAGGTGGGTGTCGGCATTTACGTTGTAAATGTTTATGGGCTTCGGTAACCACTTAACACCAGGTGGGCCGTGAGCTCGTCCACCCACCTAAGCAATAAAAAAGCGCATCACATTATTATATAAACGCAATACTTTTTTTTCCTGAGGTTATAAACGCAATACTTTTTTTTCCTAAGATTTGTATGAGAAGCTTTAATCGTCGATCTCATGTTAAGTTAAAAGCTTCAGTGAACTTTCAATCACTAAATCACCCTTCTAGGGGTGGAAAAAGGCAATGTAATACAAATCACAGTGGACTTTGTATTAGTAAAAACCTCCATTATTAGCATTAGCATAATAATATTAAATTTTCTATGCATTTTGTATAATAATTGACGGGTGAAGAAAAAAATATTTATCTTTTGAAAATATATGCATTGTATATGTACGTATGTATCAGTATATAAATCCCTTGTAAGAAAATACAAAGTGAAAATAAATTAATAAATATGCATCTTCTTCATCTTCTTTTTCTCCGTCTTATCCCACTAGGTGGGGTCGGTACACCTGATTTTTCTCTTCCATTCTCTTCTATCAGCCGTCAGCTCAACACTCACTCCTCTCTCTCTCTCATATCGTCATTCTCACACTCCATCTATGTCTTCTTCGGTCGACCTCTTCCCCCTCTACCATGCACTACCATTTCCGTACATCTCCTAGTCAATAAATATGCATATCTATATACTTAGTCTGGCCATAAATACTGTTACAATGAAAAATAAACAAAATATTACATTTGAATTTGGAATCTGTCATTTTTATATGATTGCTCATTGAGTTTTCTCATTTTGGCGCCAATACATTGTACAATATTTTGCGATATTAAAATGGAGTGGGGTGATAAAGAGAACCGAATCGCTGTGATTGGATCACACAAAGTAGGTATGGAGCCAAATGCAATTTTTAAAACTCTCCATACACCTGGTATTAGTAAAATGTCTGTGTACGGGGCTATTAATAGGTGCAATGAGACCTCCTCTGTTGGTGATAGAAAAAGATCTGGCCGTCCACGTAGTGTTCGTACGAAAAAGATGGTCAAAGCAGTAAGGGAAAGAATTCGAAGAAATCCTGTCCGAAAGCAAAAGAATTTATCTCGGGAAATGAAGATAGCACCTAGAACCATGTCGCGTATTTTAAAAGATGACTTAGGACTTGCAGCCTATAAGAGACGTACTGGTCATTTCTTAACTGATAATTTAAAAGAGAATAGGGTGGTAAAATCGAAACAACTACTGAAGCGGTACGCAAAGGGAGGTCATAGAAAAATTTTGTTTACGGATGAGAAATTTTTACAATTGAGCAACATTTTAACAAACAAAATGACCGTATTTATGCTCAAAGCTCTAAGGAAGCTTCCCAATTAGTCGACAGAGTGCAAAGTGTAGGCACTATCCGACTTCAGTGATGGTTTGGTGGGGTATTACCTATGAAGGAGTGACTGAGCCATACTTTTGTGAAAAAGGTATCAAAACATCGGCACAAGTGTATCAAGATACCATTCTTGAGAAGGTAGTGAAGCCCCTTAACAACACCATGTTCAATAATCAAGAATGGTCCTTCCAGCAAGACTCGGCGCCAGGTCATAAAGCTCGGTCTACGCAGTCTTGGTTGGAAACGAACGTTTCGGACTTCATCAGAGCTGAAGACTGGCCATCGTCTAGTCCTGATCTTAATCCGCTGGATTATGATTTATGGTCAGTTTTAAAGAGTACGGCTTGCTCTAAGCGCCATGATAATTTGGAGTCCCTAAAACAATCCGTACGATTGGCAGTGAAAATTTTTCCCATGGAAAGAGTGCGTGCTTCTATTGATAACTGGCCTCAACGTTTAAAGGACTGTATTGCAGCCAATGGAGACCACTTCGAATAAGCTTTTTATACTTTAAATTGGTTTATATTTATGTATTAAAGTAACACACTGTAAAAGTAATAAATGTTAGTTGCAATAGATTTTTTTTTTCCTTTGTCTCAGTATTTATGGCAAGACTAGGTATAGCCTATACTGAGACCTTGGAACTCATGTCTCAAGGTGGGCGACGGTTCGGTTGAGAGATTATTTGGAAGAGGAAGAGGTAGACCTAAGAAGAAATAGATTGATTGCCTGAAAGACGATATGTATAAGAGGAGAGTGAGCGAAGAAATGGTATATGATAGAGGAGTATGGAAGGAAAAGACATGTTGCGACGACACCAGATGACTGCGAGAAGGTCAGGAGAATGATGATGATAATTTGAGAGATTATTTATTTATAAGTTTACACTAACTAATGGATAATATGGTACCAAAGACTCCCTAATGGCGCGGTTTAAGAAACTACAACGAATTTCTCCAACGAAAATGCATATATTAGGTGTAACAGTATGAAATTGCCGATTTGTACTAAAAAAAAAAAAATTAGTTATTTTTTCCTCAATTAACATATTTATTTCACCAAGATATATCTACCATTATTATCTATACATTGCTACCATCTAATAGGAAGGTCATTTATGCCTTTGCGATAGAACTCTGATGACTTAAGATTCTACAAACTGTGTGAAAACATTTTGTACTGCCTCCCGGGAAGAAAACTTTTTATCTCGTAGAAAATTGTCCAAATTACGAAAAAAATGATAGTCCGTTGGAGCAAGGTCTGGTGAATACGGAGGGTGACGAATGGTTTCTAATTGCAGTTCCTGTAGAGATAAAACGGTTTCTCTTGCTGTATGAGGTCTCGCGTTATCATGAAGCAATAATGATGAAGGTCGATTCATTAGTCGGGGCTGTTTCTCTGTAAGTTTTGCTATCATTGTTCGGAGTTCGGCACAGTAGACGTCTGCCGTTATTGCTTGACCAGATCGGAGAAAGCTATAGTGAATAACACCATGCTGAGACCACCAAACAGTTACCATTACCTTTTTATTGGTAAGCTTTGCTTTAGGACACTGTTGCAGCGTTTGACCAGGGGTCAGCCATTGCGTTTTTCGCTTACGGTTATCATAAAGAATCCACTTTTCATCACATGTCACAATTCTATCCAATATTCCTTCACTTCTGTATCGATTCAACAAGGCAATACAAGTTTCAACAGGCGTTTCTTTCTGCAGATCAGTCAAATCATGAGGCACCCATTTCTCATTTTTATTTTATTGATTTGACGCAAATGAGTCAATATTGTTGGTAAGGTAACGTTTTTTTTTTATTGGTTAGATATGTGGACGAGCTCACAGCCCACCTGGTGTTAAGTGGTTACTGGAGCATAGACATCTACAACGTAAATGCGCCACACACCTTGAGATATAAGTTCTAAGGTATCAGTATAGTCACAACGGCTGCCCCACCCTTCAAACCGAAACGCATTACTGCTTCACGACAGAAATAGGCGGGGCGGTGGTACCTACCCGTGCGGACTCACAAGAGGTCCTACCACCAGTAATTACGCAAATTATAATTTTGCGGGTTTGATTTTCATTACACGATTATTCCTTCACCGTGGAAGTCGATCATGAACATTTGTTAAGTACGTGTATTTCATTAGAAAAATTGGTACCCGCCTGCGGCATTCGAACACCGGTACACGTTAAACCATACCGCTAATTCCTGGGTAGTTTGGCTCTGATCGGCTTCCACCATCTCTTTCAATTCATTGTTATTCACATGTGTGGGCGGTCTTCCACGTGGTTCGTTCTTCAAATCAAAATTTCCTTCGCGAAAGTGTTTAAAGCAAAATCGAGCGGTTCTTTTTTTCCCTTTTTTACTACCTATGCTGATAGCCTTGAGAGGCTATTTCAGCTTCACCCTAACATGAAGGTGAGCTCACGGGGCTCAAACCGGAGTGTTGCTAACACTGGCCCTAGCAAGAGCAGTGCTTCGCAGAATCTACCACCGGATCGGAAACGCGACATACTGAGAGGATCCGGCGAGAAACTCAGTAGGCTGTGTTTGCGGGTTAATTTACTCGTCGAGCCCTTCGTCGCAAGCGACGGGTTCGACGAGGACGGTGACCGGTGCTTGAGGTACCTAAAAGCACCGTTAGTGGATCGGGAGGATCCGTAATGACGTGTTTTGGGCGACGTCGACTGTTTACCATTTGGTCTACAGGATCGGGTATGTAGTTTCCAGCGGCCACGAGTTCTCATGTCGTGCCGCCTTCACAAAGTGAAACGCGCGGTGCGTTCATTAGTAGTCCACTCACCAAACGCAACATTGATATTGCGAGCTGTCTATGCAGCGTTAGATCCGCGTCGGAACTCGTATTCAAAAATTCAGTAAAAAAATAATTAAATTCGATAATTATATAATTGAATGTTGCACATTTTTTCAAAAAAGAACCTCATAGGTATCATTTGAAAATAGTTTCACTCAAAAATCTCAAGTCATGAAGGTTCTATGTCAATTCGAAGTATCTACTACAATATAACGACAATTTCCTGGTATAAAGTTAAAACTATTGACATAAAGAAAAAAAGAAAAAAAAAACATACTTTAACCCCTATCTATACCTATAAATAAAATTGGAATGTATGTTTGTAATGTTGAAATAACCGCTTTTTACTACATGCATATATGAATATATATACGGTACCTACAAATAAATAAAAATTTTACAATTTTTGTCTGTCTGTCTGTCTGTTTGTTCCGGCTAATCTCTGGAACGGCTGGACCGATTTTGACGGGACTTTCACTGACAGGTAGCTGATGATATAAGGAGTAACTTAGGCTACTTTTTTTAGACTAGCTTCGCCCCGCGGCGTCACCCGCGGTACGATAATAACCGCGGGTAGCATCGCGGGACTCAACTATGAATAATAAAATTTAATGTTTCCGAAGCGAAGCGAGGGCAGGTCGCTAGTTAGAATATATAATGTACATAACAAAAGCGCTTGCTCGCACACCACTTTACCTTGGAGTCGATTCATGTTTTATTTTATTAAATACTATTGTTATTATATACTAGCGACCCGCCTTCGCTTCGCTTCGGAAACATTAAATTTCATTATTGATAGCGGAGACCCGCGATGTTACCTGCGATTATTGTTGTGCCGCGGGTGATGCCGCGGGTCAAAGCTAGTCTAAAAAAGTAGCCTAAGTTACTTCTTATATTATCAGCTACCTATTAATGAAAGTCTCCTCAAAATCAGTCCAGCCGTTGCAGAGATTAGCCGGAACAAACAAACAGACAGACAGACAGACAAAAATTGTAAAAAATGTTATTTTGGTGTATGTACCGTATATATATTCATATGCATGTAGTAAAAAGCAGTTATTTCAATATTACAAACAGACAGATTTTATTTATATGTATAGTTTATTATGTACTTTTATTTGCTATGCCTAATGTACCTTTTAACCTTCATTAGCATTAGCATAATATTATTAAATTTTCTATGAATTTTGTATAATAATTGACAGGTGAAGAAAAAAATATTTATCTTTTGAAAATATATGCATTGTATATGTACGTATGTATCAGTATATAAATCCCTTGTAAGAAAATACAAAGTGAAAATAAATTAATAAATATGCATCTTCTTCATCTTCTTTTTCTCCGTCTTATCCCACTAGGTGGGGTCGGCACACCTGATTTTTCTCTTCCATTCTCTTCTATCAGCCGTCAGCTCAACACTCACTCCTCTCTCTCTCTCTCTCTCATATTGTCATTCACACAGTCCCTCCACGTCTTCGGTCGACCTCTTCCCCCTCTACCTTGCACTACCATTTCCATACATCTCCTAGTCAATAAATATGCATAATAATATATCTTCTATCTATATATATAAAAATGAATTGCTGTTCGTTAGTCTCGCTAAAACCCGAGAACGGCTCGACCGATTTGGCTAATTTTGGTCTTGAATAATTTGTGGAAGTCCAGAGAAGCTTTAAAAGGTAGATAAATATGAAAATGCTCGGAATGAAATAAAAATAACAATTTTGTTTTTCCTTTGATGTGTCCCCCCCCGTCGGACGGATTCCTTTTGTTTGTTTTAAGTATATTATTTTATACAAAAGTTTAGGTCTTTTATTTATCGATTGGGGCACTACGAAGTCTGCCGGGTCAGCTAGTAAGTAGTACTCTAATGCTAAGGATTCCGTCAATAGTAGTGACATGCAATGTAAACGTGGCATCAATATGGCATATGTACCTTTTAAACCTTCTCTGGACTTCCACAAATAATTCAAGACCAAAATTAGCCAAATCGGTCCAGCCGTTCTCGGGTTTTAGCGAGACTAACGAACAGCAATTCATTTTTATATAAATAGATATCTACGGATCCCTGTACACTTTACAAACCGAAGGGACGGTAGGTAATTTGGTAGGCAGCAGCTTGGCTCCGCTCCTGGCATTACTGAAGTCCACGGGCGACGGTAACCACTCACCATTAGGAAGGCCATATGCTCGTCTGCCTACACGGGTAACGACGTGCTTTGGGACTTCTGCTGCGTCTCGCGCGGACTCACAAGAGTTCCTACCACCGGTAAGTATTACTCGGGACTTCGCGGCAGGGACGCGGCAAGATGGCGATGCGGGGTACCGACCTGGCTCGAGCGAGGTCCCCTCTCTTGGCAGCGTCCAGTAGCGCAGCATCACCCCGCAGCGCGTCAGCCGTGTCGCTGTCTCCTGCTCGCACCAGTTGCAGCGGCGTGAGTCCGTCCCTGTTCCTCCGAGTGGGATCCGCCCCATGCTGCAATCCACAGGAAGACGGTAATTCGTGACCCAAAGTCAAAGCGTTTCGAGTTCCTATGTCATATATATTGAAGTCGTCGTGGCCTAAAGGATAAGACGTCCGGTGCATTTGTGTGTAGCGATGCAACGGTGTTCGAATCTCGCAGGCGGGTAGGACCAATCTTTCTAATAAAATATACGTACTTCTTAACAAATGCTCACGATTGACTTCCACGGTGAAGGAATAGCATCGTGTAATAAAAATCAAATCCGCAAAATTATAATTACTGGTGGTAGGACCTCTTGTTAGTCCGCGCGTGTACGTACCACCACCCTGCCTATTTCTGCCGTGAAGCAGTAATGCGTTTCGGTTTGGAGGGTGGGGCAGCCGTTGTATTGTAAATATACTTGAGACCTTAGAACTTATATCTCCAGGTGGGTGGGGCATTTACGTTGCACATGTCAATAGGCTCCAGTAACCACTTAACATCAGGTGGGCCGTGAGCTCATTCACCCATCTAAGCAATAAAAAAAAAAGATCTCCCTGAGATCATCGGATAGCCTGAGACAGAAAATGTCGGAGCATTCGTCATCATTCGTTGATGATTCATTCACCATCCAGGCGGTTCGATTGTGGAATTCTCTGCCGGGTACTGTGTGAAGTGCTCCCAGGTTCTGTCCCGGATAAGGATCAAGCGAAGAGTTCAAGGAGTGGTTTAGCGGCACTATTGAGGCATGTTAACTTTCGAAGACTCACGCTTCGATGGGGGAATATCTATATCCACTAGTCTCGACGCGGGGATTGCGCGGAATATTTGGTCTCCGGCCCAAAAAAGGGGGTAGAAAACAATAGCCAATTGGTTTATAGCAGCCTTTCGCAAAGTGGGCTATAACGCCACTTTGTGGGCGCTACAGGTCCAAAGAGGGGCAGTAAGAGACTCAGAAAAAAAAGGGGGCGTTGTGTAGAGGTTTTGGGGGCGATTTGTAATTTCATCTAGGAAGACTCTTAGACACCGATTGAGCTCTCACTAGTGGTTTTTAAATAGGTAAAAAAAATCGGTTGTCTGTAAAGTCGGTTTACTGACGATAGTTGAACGTGACAACGTCATAAGAAAATACTGATGGAATGGTTTCATTTTTCAATTATCGCAATTATCGTTGCTATAAACAATTGACACCACATTCACTTTTCACTGAACTTCATACTTGACGAAAACATGTACGCCTCAGAGCGAGGTAACGCCGCATGAGTCATGTTTTTTCGTGCGTGCAGCCGGCTCCATCGAATTATAAGACGGTGTCCTGTCAAAAATGGAGGGCGCTAAAAAATAATTTATTCTCAAAGTAGGCAGTAGACAAAATAAGTTTGGGAGCCGCTGGTTTATAGCATACCTTGAGCAGCAATCTCACGATATCCGCCTTGCCTTTAGCCGCTGCCTCGTGCAAGGGTGAGAACCTCCAGAGGTCCGCGGCGTTCACACCGGCTCCGGCAGACACGAGGAGCTCGGTGACCTCGTAATGGCCGTAGGAGCACGCGTTGTGAAGCGGGACCAGACCTCTGCAGCGAATACAAGGAATCATTGAAGGCTCTTTTGCTGCTGTCCGCCTCGGGACTTCAGTTCACCGCGTGAAATTCGTTTCCAAATGATTATTGTCCACATTGACGGTTGTCTGGAAGAGATCGCTCTTAGCGATAAAACCGTCAATTGTAACTTTTTGTATTTAATGTTTCGCATTGTTCTTTTTGGTGTACAATAAACAATACTTTTTCTCTCTCCCTCTCTCTCCATCTCTCCCCCTCTCTCTCCATCTCTCCCCCTCTCTCTCTGCCCCCACCCTCTCCCCAACCCCCCCTCTCTCTCTCTCTCTCCCTGTCTCTCTCTCCCTCTTCTTATCTCTCTCTTTCCCTCTCCCTGTCTCTCTCCCTTCAGACGGTCGTCAATTTAGCCAACAATGCCAACTCACCCCTTATCTTTCGCGTGTACATCAGCTCCACGCTGGAGTAGTAACTGAGCCAATGGAAGTCGATTGTACCTGTAATATTCATTTTCTAGTCAAACGTCAAAAAGTAGTTTTACTGGTGGTAAGACCTCTTGGGAGTCCGCACGGGTAGGTACCACCACCCCGCCTATTTCCGCCGTGAAGTAGTAATGCGTTTCGGTTCGAAGGGTGGGGTAGCCATTGTAACTANGTACATCAGCTCCACGCTGGAGTAGTAACTGAGCCAATGGAAGTCGATTGTACCTGTAATATTCATTTTCTAGTCAAACGTCAAAAAGTAGTTTTACTGGTGGTAAGACCTCTTGGGAGTCCGCACGGGTAGGTACCACCACCCCGCCTATTTCCGCCGTGAAGTAGTAATGCGTTTCGGTTCGAAGGGTGGGGTAGCCATTGTAACTATTCTGAGATCTTAGAACTTATATCTCGAGGTGGGTGGCGCATTTACGCTGTAGATGTCTATGGGCTCCAGTAACCACTTAACACCAGGTGGGCTGTGAGATCGTCCATCCATCTAAGCAAAAAAAAAAAAACGTGTGAAGAAATGACAAGACATTAAGCACGACTCAAGTTCTCATTTCCAATAACTTCTAGTCTATGACCAATCAATCTACTACTAAAGATTCTCTTATAGGCAATAGGCAGGATTATGTCGCCGGACCGTGAGGTTTCTGCGGGTTTTGAATACTGGCCCAATCGCATCGCTCGATACACCGGTCCTCTTATCTCCTAGGGCACGACGACTTCATCAGCGGCCGTGAGGGGCTCGACATTTATTTATTTATTTTTAGTCTTCTTACAAATTAACAGTATCACCAAAACAATTGTATTAATGATATTAGCTTAAGTAATTCCTGGCAAAACAGCTATAAATCGCTGCAAGCCGTCATGGAATATATCCGTTTCCGGAGCATAGGCTAGCAAGCCGTTGAGTAGCGAGACAGCACAACGTGTCGGAGAGTTAGCGGTGGGTAGTACGCGCGTGCTTGGTACTAAGAAGCTGCCGCTGACGACGCGCCCCTCCACGAACCTTCGGGATCCCTGATTGCGTTCGGAGGGTTCCGGTGTGGTCGGCATTAAGGTATAGTACCAATACAAATGGAAATTAACCTTATAATTTATTTTGTAAGGCTTTGAAAGAGCTAAAGTCTGTACTAGGTTCAAAGACCTGTATTATTGAGCTCCAGGCTCCCTCCCTACTTCTTAAGATAGATTAGGTTGGGTTAAGTCGTGAACAGATGCTGCGGACTAGTGTTGAGAGATCATTAGGTGTTATCATTTAAGAAAGTCATAATGCGTGTGTGTGTGTGAATGTGTGTATATGTCGGCGTGTACGCGCATGCATGTTGTATTGTGTATATATTTTTTTTTTATTGCCCTTGTAGGCAGACGAGCATACGGCCCACCTGATGGTGAGTGGTTACCGTCGCCCATGGACTTCAGTAATGCCAGGGGCAGAGCCAAGCCGCTGCCTACCGTATATGTGAGTATCTGCATCTATGTGTGTGTTTTATTACTCTTACATAGGTATGACTAATTAATTGATTAATTGGGCTCAAAAACAAAAAAGCAGGTCACTTCACAGTGTGGAGTAAGTTCTCCGTTTGCTCTTAGTCTAGGTCGTGAGGCCAATTTCTTAGTGCATGTTTGCATTGGGTCTGTGTCATGGGTATATATTGATTTTATTGTATTGCATTGAGTGTGGCACGCGAATAAGCAAAGACCCTCGCAAAATGATCGGCGATAATGCCTTTTGGCCCTACTCACCCGGCAGCGAAATGCAGGGGCGTCGAATGCCGCCCGTCGACATCTCTGCAGTTGACGAGTCTCGGTCGCGAGTCGAGGATCGCTCGAGCTGTCTCCACGTCACCAGTGCGGGCAGCTTCTAGCAGCCGGACTGCCGCCGCGTTAGTGCAAGCATCTGCGGCAGACCTTTATACTGGCGGTAGGACCTCTTGTGTGTCCGCGCGGGTAGGCACCACCGCCCTGCCTATTTCTGTCATGAAGCAGTTGAAGTCGTCGTGGCCTAAAGGATAAGACGTCCGTTGCATTCGTACCTAGCGATGCAACGGTGTTCGAATCCCAGGCGGGGTACCAATTTTTCTAATGAAATACTTACTCAATAAATGTTCACGATTGACTTCCACGGTGAAGGAATAACATCGTGTATTAAAAATCAAAATCGAAAAATTATAATTTGCGTAATTACTGGTGGTAGGACCTCTTGTGAGTCCGCGCGGGTAGGCACCACCGCCCTGTCTAGTTCTGCCGTGAAGCAGTAATGCGTTTCGGTTTGAAGGGCTTATATCGCTAGGTGGGTGGCACATTTGCGTCGTCGATGTCTATGGGTTTCAGTGACCTCTTAACACCAGGTGAGCTGTGAGCTCGCCTAGCAATCTAAGCAATAGTAAAAAAAAAAGAATCCAACGGGTTTCATGACGAAAACACGTAGGTAAACAAACTTCAAAGACTGCATACATAACAAGGATCATGACTTTCCGGGATCAGCATCTCGTTAATCGACCGACCTCAAGGAATATACCTCAATACAAATCGAAAGTGCTTTTTTTTTAATAACTGTTTTGGGACAAACGAATTGAAAAAAAAAGAAGGGATTCTTGCTAAAAATCATTAGAATTTTCGTCAATTGTTTCCATTTACATAAATACATAAATTATAATAAAATGCTCATTATTAATGTTTATTAAGTTCGCATTTTCGTATTAGTTAATTTTAATTTAATTTTCACAAAGAATATAATATTTATTTAAATGTGATAACGAAATATAGTTAGTTAAAAATGGAAAGAATTGTCATAAATTATGATGATCTTAGATTAGAATCTAGGTCTAGGTAGATAGATGATTTAAATATAAAAGTTCAGGTGATTATTGTCAGTTCGTAATTTTACGGTTTAATTTCGTGTATTTAGTTTAGAAGTCTTATAATGGAGCTTAGGGAGGACTAAATGTTTCGCTGCAAAACTCTAAGTGACCGCTTCCGTTACTGGAATTGACGTTAGACTTTTTTTTATTGCTTAGATAGGTGAGTTTCTCGCCGGATATTCTCAGTGGGTCGCGGTTCCGATCCGGTGGTAGATTCTGCGAAGCACTGCTCTTGCTAAGGTTCGTGTTAGCAACGTCGTCAGGCTTGAGCCCCGTGAGCTCACCTACTAGTTAAGGTTACGCTGAAACAGCCTCTCAAGGCTATGAACATGGATAGAAAAAAAAATTAAGTTGGCGAAATATTTTTTTCATTGCTTAGATGGGTGGACAAGCTCATGGCTCACCTGATCTACGTCTACGTCTGCTCTCATGCACCTAAAATTCTCCGCCATTGTTGTGCTCAGGTAATTTGCAATATTGTGTTTAGTGTAAAAATGAAATAAACAAAAGGCAATAAAATTTAATAGTGAAGTATTAAACAAAGATGAGTTCATCAGACAGTTCTTATTCAATTAGTAGTAGTTTATTTAAAAATTAAAAAACAGTTAAATTGTTTTTTTACGAGTATGGGGGGCTCTGCCCCCCCCCCCTACACCCTGCCAGGGCTTCGCCCCTGGACCTCACCGGGGCTTTACCCCTGGATGCCCACAATGTACTATTAAATGCCCAGCGAAGCGGACGGGTACAGCCAGTTGCTTATAAGTCTGTGGTCAAATTGAGAATAGATAAGTTAAGTTTTGTTTTTATTAATATTTCCGTCTAAAGCGTAGTCTTGCGAAATCTGTGATTATAAAAGTATAATAGTCTTTGACAATAGAATCATAGCAGTGTACAAACTTATAATTTCAATTTAATTATAGTCGAATTTCGACTACCGGGGGATCACTAGTACAATAATTTAAAATCGCTTTACCCTAAACTCTAGGGTCGTATATAAAAACAAGAGGCAGCATCCGACGACACGTCATTCGACAACAGACAGCCATCGGTCGAGTGTAAATTAATTATATAAGAAAAATAAATAAACATTTAATTTCCAAAGCAATTAATTTGCGAGAGAAAAATATAAAAGTCATCATAAATTATTATCGCCATTGTTATAATGGCTACGTTTGTTAACTAATGCGGTGAGTACTTAAAGGTGAATCGTTTTAATAAGAAAGCCGTACAGTTTTTGTTATTTTGGGGATGGTTTAACGAAAAATTTGAAGATCTTCCACCGAGTTGAAGATATTGTTCGGTAGACCATTGGTGCGGACATTTTTTTCCCTACCTATGCTGATAGCCTTGAGAGGCTATTTCAGCTTCTTGACGTGTAACACGGGGCTCACACCTAACGACGTTGCTAACACGAACCCTAGCAAGAGCCGTGCTTCGCAGAATCTACCACCGGATCGGAAACGCGACCCACTGAGAAGATCCGGCGAGAAACTCAGTGGGGCTGTGTCTGGCGTCTTATCTTTTGAACCGCGATGTTTTCTTCGAAGTTTCTTTATAAATACGTATTCACACGTCGTCTCTCATTCCCCAGGATAATACAGACATTTATCGGACCCCGATAATGGAAGCGAAACAAAACAATCTCGCACCGACCTTAGAGGAGGAAGCACAGTTCGAAAAACTTATAGCGCCACAAGCTTCAGATAGAAAACACGAGATAATCTCCGCGAATCTCATAACATTTGCTTACGGGCATATATCTGCACTGTACGGCTTGTATCTTTGCTTCAGTAGTGCGAAATGGGCGACGATAATTATGGGTGAGTCAAAAATACTCGTAAAATATAGGGACCCCTTCCGATACCCTTTACTTCTCGTCATGCCGTAAGGTGGCTAAAGGATCCACCTGGGTACAAGGCTCTTTTTTTTTATTAGCTTAGATGGGTGGACTGGCTCATAGCCCACCTGGTGTTAAGTGGTTACTGGAGCCCATAGACGTCTACAACGTAAATGCGCCACCCACCTTGAGATATAAGTTCTAAGGTCTCAGTATAGTTACAACGGCTGCCCCACCCTTCAAACCGAAACGCATTACTACTTCACGGCAGATAGAAGCAGGGTGGTGGTATCTACCCGTGCGGCCTCACAAGAGGTCCTACCACCAGTAAAGTCGGCCTAATAGCTGCCCCAGCTGAAGAAGCCGAACAAATCAAGGGTGGCTCTTTCGCAAGTGCATCCCCCGTAAACCGCGATCCATTGCGAAGGTCCGGCGAGGAACTCTGAACTAATTCTGAGGGTTCGGTTTTGACGAGTACGACCTTGTACGAGTTTGACCTGCGCTTTGGATGCTGCTCCCAGGGACGGCTCAAAGGCATTAGAACTACACACGTGCTCCGCTATTGAATCTAATCGCCAAGCTATAAACAGGAGCGCAACGCGGACCGTGAGAGGGTTATCATTTTTTTTATTGCCCTTGTAGGCAGACGAGCACACGGCCCACCTGATGGTGAGTGGTTACCGTCGCCCATAGACTTCAGCAAAGCCAGGAGCAGAGCCAAGCCGGGCAGCTTAATACTCTCCACAAGCCTCGTTTGAAAAAGGACATGTCATAGCGCTCGGGAAACACCGTGGAGGGGAGCTCATTCCATAGCCGGATGGTACGTGGCAAAAAAGATCTCTGGAAACGCACTGTGGATGACCGCAGTGGCTCCAGGTAGTATGGATGAACTCTACTCCGGTGGCGGGCGGTGCGATGGTAAAAACGAGAAGATGATATCATCTCGAACAATTCCTCAGAGAACTCCCCATGGAACATACGGCACAAAATACAGAGGGAACCGAAGTCCTTCCGCAGATCCAGACGTTCCAAACGATCCTTGAGAATGGAATTATCGACAATCCGAACGGCCCTCTTCTGTATCAAGTCACTTATAAAACTTTTCTGTAATTTTCCAGCCTACGTCATATTGATAGCGGCAGAGGTTGGAGTGACGGCAGGCGCCCATCGACTCTGGACCCACCGGGCGTACAAAGCCAAGAGGCCACTGCAGATCATACTAATGGTAATGAACTCGTTCGCCTTCCAAAACTCGGCCATCACTTGGATCCGGGACCATCGGATGCACCACAGGTACAGCGACACGGACGCCGACCCTCACAACGCTACCAGAGGCTTCTTCTACTCGCACATAGGATGGTTGCTGGTCAGGAAACATCCGGAGGTGAAGAGGAGGGGCAAAACAATTGATATGTCGGACATTTACAGTAATCCTGTTTTGGTCTTCCAAAAGAAGTGAGTTGAATCAAAGTAGATACTGGAGATTTCTAGTAACGCCGTTTATAAGAGCCGATTCGGTGGTCCTGTACCCCCGAGGGTCGAAAATTCGATCCCCGCATCGGGCAAACGTTCCTGTGATAAACAGTTTCGTTTGTTCTAGGTACGTCAATCTCTGGTACCCATAACACACGTAATCCTTATTTGGGGCCAGAAGACCGTGCAGGGTTTTTTGCCAGCTACCCTTAAATTATTTGAAAAAAAGAGCACCACTGTAAACGCCTTTATAAACTTTAGTAATCGGAAACTTAATCTTCCCCGTTATTTTTGCTAATTCTATTATTGTTACTACTATTATTACGTGGTCAATGGAGCTCATGGATATCACATGGAAGACGCCACCCATTATAATATACCAACTATTCGATCCTTCCTTTTTTTTCCTACCTTGCTGATAGCCTTGTGGGGCTATTTAAGCGTAACCTTAACTAGTAGGTGAGCTCGCGGGGCTCAAACCTGACGACGTTGCTAAGACGAACCCTAGCAAGAGCCGTACTTCGCAGAATCTACCACTGGATCGGAAACGCGACCCACTGAGAAGATCCGGCGAGACACTCAGTGGGCTTCGATTCTTCAAAACAAAACCTAGGGTTGCCTCGACCGAATTGTTTCGGTCGTTTCATATTGTTGTCTTATTAGGACCTGTTGTGAATCCGCACGGGTAGGTACCACCACCCTACCTATTTCTGCCGTGAAGCAGTAATGCGTTTCGGTTTGAAGGGCGGGGCAGCCGTTGTAGCTATACTGAGACCTTGGAACCCATGTCTCAAGATGGGTGGCGGCATTTACGTTGTAGATGTCTATAGGCTCTGATAACCACTTAACACCAGTTGGGCTGTGAGATCGTCCATCCATTTAAGCAGTAAAAAAAACATCCTCTAAGTCGCGATATAAACACACCCCTCAGCTTATGGTGTCAGGACTTTAGCTCCAACCCCCAATTTATTCAACCCTGTTCCAGATACGCGATACCATTCATAGGAGCTGTTTGCTTCGTTATACCGACTCTCGTACCCATCTACTTCTGGGGTGAGACGCTGACCAACGCCTGGCACATCACCTTGCTGCGATATATCATCAGCCTTCACGTGACCTTCTTGGTGAACAGCGCCGCTCACCTCTGGGGAACGAGGGCTTACGACAAACGAATTTTCCCGGCGCAGAACCTGATCGTATCCCTGCTGGCGGTCGGCGAGGGATTCCACAACTACCACCACGTTTTCCCGTGGGACTACCGCACGGCAGAACTGGGGAACAACTATTTGAACTTGACCACGAAATTCATTGATTTCTTCGCGTGGCTAGGGTGGGCCTACGATCTGAAATCGGTGCCGGATAGTGCGGTCCAAAGCAGAGCCGCTAGGACTGGTGACGGTACGAACTCGTGGGGTTGGCGAGAGGAGGANGGATTCCACAACTACCACCACGTTTTCCCGTGGGACTACCGCACGGCAGAACTGGGGAACAACTATTTGAACTTGACCACGAAATTCATTGATTTCTTCGCGTGGCTAGGGTGGGCCTACGATCTGAAATCGGTGCCGGATAGTGCGGTCCAAAGCAGAGCCGCTAGGACTGGTGACGGTACGAACTCGTGGGGTTGGCCAGAGGAGGACGCAAATGAAGACATTCTTAAGCAAACTTCAACTTTATAGATGGCTATTTGTCATTAAATTATGTTCATTGAGTGGTTTTTCATTTATTTAAATTGTAAATAATTAACCCTTTTAGTCCTGATCCTATATTCACTTATTTTGAATAAATAGCTAAAAACAATTTTAAAAGAAAAAGTACCATACAAAAATTATATTTTAAATGGTTATATTTAAATGTATGTCAAATGTAAATTAAATGTATGTTATTTGTAACTTATTAAAAACATTATAAGTGCGACCGTACAGGTCGACACCTAATAACTATAATCAAACTGCGCAATAGTCTGTACTCCGACGCTCTATACTTTATACGTATTATTAATAGAGAGGCGATATATCGACGGTTCGCACTCAAAGGGTTGAATTGCAATAGAAGCCTGTGTAGACAGCGGACTGGCTCTGCCCCTGGTATTGCTGACGTCAATGAGCGACGGTAACCACTTACAATCAGGTGGGCCGTACGCTCGTCTGCCTACAAAGGCAATAAAAATAATAATAATAATAAGACTCAATAAGTACTCGCTCCGATCGGGTCCATAGCCGTGATAAGCGCTGATACCCATCATACATAGTTTAGTACTTCGGATACGGCTCGAAGGACCAAAAACAAAGTGTGCCCATCTATCCCCGCTTCTCTTTTTAATTCGCTACTGTCATTTTATATATTTCTGTAACATATTACAACGTGCTTTAAACCAACTTTAGAACGTCGGATTACCCTAAAAATTCGTAAACACGTATCAGTGGCGATTTAATAATTATTTCGTTATAACGTAATATCCTGAACAGTCAGACCATTTGAAGTTGTCATGGCTTAACAGTTAAGATGACCGGTTCATTCGGATCGTTCATTCATGGACTACTTTCGCAATGAAGGAATAAACATCGTGTATTAAAAATCTTTAAATCGCATTTCGTGATCGCTACACTATTGACTTCATGACCTCGAGTCACGATGTGGACGGCGTCATTCACGTTGTATCCGCTTAACATCAGGTCAGCCGTGCGCTTGTCTAGTCTATCCATCCATTCATCATTAAAAAAAACCTTCGAAACCCTCATCCTTGAATCCTTCAATTGTTTCACGCGATAATTTAAACATGACAGCAACGAGAGTACCCCTTTGAGGTCCTCTCGAACTTTTAGGGAGCTTTCGGAACATGACCCCGCAACAGACCAGACAATAACCCCGCAGAGTATTAAGCGGCAGGCAGCGGCTTGGCTCCGCCCCTGGCATTGCTGGAGTCCGAGAAAACCGACTTCAAATATAAACTAAAAAATATTCCAAAACAAATTAATATACACTAAAAACAATAATCATCGAAATCAGTTGGCGTGATATTGAGTTATTGAGTTATTCATCCATTTGTCGCGCACGTACTTAATGCAAATTTAAGACTTATATGGTTTTCACATGGAGAACATTATCAGAACTGGACTAAATTGAAATGGGACCAACACAGGAAGCGTCAGCTTTCTAATAAAAAAAGAATCATCAAAATCGATTCACCCAGTCAAAAGTTATGAGGTAACAAACATATAAAAAAAAAATAGTCGAATTGAGAACCTCCTCCTTTTTTGAAGTCGGTTAAAAAGAACACTTAATAAGTGTTAATTAAAGACCGATTACCCAAAGTTAAATCCACAGTAACGTTATATGTATTCTATAATTGTGTTTTTTTGTGTGTGTGTGTTTTTTTTTCGTTACTGAGAAAAGGCAAAACCATTATTAACGTCAATTTCAATTTGTACAAAGAAAAAAAAAAAGACACGGTCTTTGAAGGTCTTTAAAGGCAAGGTTTATCTACATAAATACCATAAATTACGAAGCGATTAATATTTTAAGTGCCGGACGATTTAGAAGGTAATAACGCGTGGCGGTTTGTGACGTCACTGTTCCTAGAGCAACACACGTGGGCGTCAGTAAAGTTAAGGGCACAAGCTCCCTACACTCGATAAAGATTTTAACCCTTTGACTGTCATGGACTGGTGGTGGGACGTCCTGTGAGTCCGCGCGGGTAGGTACCACCACCCCGCCTATTTTTGCCGTGAAGCAATGCGTTTCGGCTTGAAGGGTGGGGCAGCCGTTGTAACTATACTGAGACCTTAGAACTCATATCTCAAGGTGGGTGGCGCATTTACGTTGTAGATGTCTATGGGCTTCAGTGATCACTTAAAACCAGGTGGGTTAGAGCTCGTCCGCCCATCTAAGCAATAAAAAAAGGTTTACGAGGCCCACGTAAAGAGAGGGGGGGATCCAATGCTGATGCTATACCACTTGGTGGATATGGCTTATTTCCTACTTAAGCATCAGCTTGGTTAGGAAAAAAAGCCATATCCGGCTATTGATTATTGCGTTGACATATATTGCGTATTTCAACGCAACCTTAACTAGTAGGTCAAGCTCACGGGGCTCAAACCGGAGTGTTGCTAACATTGGCCCTAACAAGAGCCGTGCTTCGCAGAATCTACCATCGGAACGGAAGTGCGACCCACTGAGAAGATGCGGCGAGAAACTCAGTGGGCTGTGTCTGTGAGTTAATTCGCTTAAGGACCGTGACCGGTGAATATGGCTGATGACGTAATGTCGCTACAGTAGAGTGAGTGGGTAGGTAGGGGGTCGCGTACCGTCGGGCGCGGGTCCGGCGTCGGTTCTAGCGTCGGCGCCGCACGCCAGCAGCAGGCGACACGCCGCCGCCGCGTCCCGCCGCGCCGCCACGCACAGCGCGCTCTCGCCGCGTCCGTCGCAAGCGTTCACCTTAGCACCTGCCGACAACACGAGCGATATTAAGCGGTGGGCATCATCATTAGTCGTATTGTTCATATTATAGTAGAATTATTGTGTCTGTGCAGTTTGGGTCATAAAAAATCGGAGCGGTGAAAAGAGTATTTCGCTCTCTCTTTTTTTTTTTTTATTGCCTTTGTAGGCAGACGAGTATACGGCCCACCTGATGGTAAGTGGTCACCGTCGCTCATGGACGTCAGCAATGCCAGGGGCAGAGCCAAGCCGCTGCCTACCATAAAGTACTCTCCGC